GAAGAACAGCGCCGATCGCACCGCAGCATCAGACAATAAACTGTTTGAAGACTTTCTGGGAGACAGGATCAGTACCGTCTGGGGAATGTCGAAGCCGGAGAAGGAAAATCTCTGGGTGGAAGCCAAGACATGGCAGCTAGCCAATGAGTTGGGCAAGCATCGTCATCGGTATGCTCGGCGAGCGTCTCCTGAAGGATTTTGGAACGTGGACTTTCCCAACACTCAGGAGGTACAGGCCGAGAAGGCAGAGTTTGAAAAGCGAGAAAAGCAAATGATTCAAGAAAGATACCGGGAAGCGATGAGAGGAGGTGGACGGTGGGTTTTCAGGGATGAATGAGACCCCAGCGCTGTTTTATCATTGTCGCCTCCGGTGTTTGGATTATTGATAGACCTCCCGCGATACAGCAAGTATAGGATAGACAGTAACGTCAAGACGAATTAACAAGGACTCGTAAATCAGTCAGCAGTGTCACCAGGCCACCTTCACATAGGTACAGACTAGCTTGACCAAGCTCGTCTCTAAGCTCCCCCTCCGGACCCTACCCTAGCTCCCAGCTCACCGGCTGAACTCTCCAAAGTGGGGCCGATTTCGGGCAAATTACGGAAGATGAGGCGTGAGGTCAATGTGCGGGGATCATTCTGTGATCAGTGCACGAGGCTTTCGGCTCAGGCAATAATCGCATTGCGCCAACAAAGCCCGGAGCCCGCAGGCCGCTAGCTCCAGGTCAACCTTCCTCTCCTGCGCGCGGCGTAATTTTTTGTCATCACCAAACTGGAAGCGACTGCGTAGCTGCATTGAAGCTGCGCTGCTCCGGTCGTTGCTGATTTACTGCGACCGCCTTCCTTCGCGGCTTCCTCCTCCGCAGCGCATATTGTGCTTGCTCAAGCGACATCTCGGTCCTGATCCACTTTTGAGTCAGGGCACCTGTGTACTTTTCCGGCTTCGAGAACGTCAAACCGAAAAGAGGAGGCGACACACGACACTCCAGAGTTTGCCGGTTCTCTGCCACTGTCATCGCGCACCCGACGCGAAGGAACCGCGCCTTTCATCGAAGCACAACGAACGTCGAACTCCGCCGAAGCTGTCGACGCCTCCACTGCGACCGCGCCGACAACCGCTTCCAAGAAAGCCGCAGATCCAACGGGCAGTGATAGTTCCAGCCGTGGACGATCACTGCAAACACACAACTCCCAAGCCGGCAGGATGAACAATCGTCATCTGCCGGCTGGGCAAGCCATGCCGGGGGGTGGTGGGCCGGGAGCTGGCGGCGGTATCGACATGGGCGGCGGGCCTGGAGGGGGCAGAGGACGGAGGATGCAACAACAGCCATCGTATGCGCAATACCAGCAGTATCAGCACATGCCGATGCATCATACCAACTACATGAACCCTTACGCCGCCGCACCATACTACCACCAGCTGCCGTACCAGTACCAGAATGGCGGCATGCCGTCTGGCTACATGCATTACCAACAACCGCAGCAATATGTCCAGTCACCACGGGCAATGCCGCAGCAGTATGTCCCCATGGCCGGCGTCAGCGTTCCCCAGCCGTACTCTCAACCGTCTCAGCCGTCACCTGCTCTTTCGAATCCCTACCAGCCGCCTCCCATTTCTGCCGCCATGCCTGTTCAATCGCCTCCGCCCCCTCAGCCTCACTCTATTCACCAGACTCCAGAGCCTCCAGTGTTGACACCAGTTGCTGAGCCTTTCCAACCCGCGGCCGAACCCTTCAAGCCTATTGCTGAGCCTTTCAAGCCCGTGGCCGAGCCCTTCAAGCCAGTGGCTGAGTCCTTTCAACCCGCGGCGCCTGCTCCCCAGACTCCTCTGACTCCTCAGACCCCCCAGAGCCCGGAGCTTCCCAAACCGGCCGAACATTTCCGTGCACCTGTAAGTATTCTCGGAGCAATCGCCTTGTACTTCTTTGCTGACGAGCCATAGTTGCCCTGGACGCCTTCCTCTCAAGGGCCCTTCCCCAAGAGAGCCCCGAAATCAAGACGACGAAGAAGGTTGATGAGCTCAAGCGCGAAAAACGTCACGCTTCAGCTCATGGCACAGAGCAGCGTGGATCAAGCGGAACTGAATCAAGCTACGAAGGAAGATGCTGCGGACGCGGCCACCGATGTTGATGTCACGGGTTCGACACCTAAGAAGGCGCCCCTTGATAACTCCACGGACGCCGAGACCGAAAGTGTTACCCTAAGGGCAGAGTCAGCGGCATCTGAAGCTCCTAAGGAGAGCGACAGGTCCACGACCGCAGTCTTAATCGATGGCAGCCCCAAGGCCATCTCAAAGGAGAACGCGAGGCCCACGACCAGCAGCTCCAACACTTCTCGGCCTGCTGTCCCAGTCGTTCCTGTCGTGCCAGTCATTCCGAAGAATAGCCCAAAGGAGGCGAAGCCCGCGAGCACTGCCAAGCCGGAGGAGGCTAAGTCTGCTGCCCAGGAGAAGCCTGCGGAGGAGTCGGCAGCGGCAGCGGCCGCTGACTCCGAGCAGAAGGCTGAAGCCCAACCCGCGGCACCAGCCAAGGCGGCCCCTAAGACTTGGAGCGGTCTTTTCTCTGCTGCCGCAGCAGCTGCCCCTAAAGCACAGCCCAATGCCAACGGTCCGTCCACCTCAGCACCGGCTAATGGAGCGAGCACCAACGGAGGTGAAACCGTCAACGGTGCGGCGTCCACCTTTTCTGCTGGAAATGCAAACTCGCTGGCTGCTGCTATCCAGGACTTCCGCGTGGGCAGTCTTTCCAAGGTCCAGTTCATCGAGCCGAGAGGCCTGATTAACACTGGAAATATGTGTTACATGAATTCAGTGGGTACTGACACCGTCGACATGGCCTCTTTGCTGACAGTCGTAGGTTTTGCAAGTTCTTCTTTTCTGCATACCATTCTATGATTTCCTCGATCAAGTCAGCAAAAGGGCTGTTCACAAATTCAAGAGTGACACGCCCGTAATCGACGCCATGTGAGTCTTGGCCTCAATCGCTTGCCAAACTTTCTTAGCTGACATGCTGCCAGGATCATGTTTATGAGGGAGTTCCGCGTCATCGATTCGACAGATTCTGTCGAAAAGCTTCGCAAGAAGCTCAAAAATGAGCAATTGGAGCAATACGGCGACTCGTTCATTCCGGAGTTCGTTTACAAGGCCATTCAGCCCCTTCCAGCCTTTGCCAGCATGAGAGTATGTGGTCGCCCTATAGCCTGTTGCATCTTCACGTCTAATTCTTGAGCAGCGAGGACATCAGCAGGATGCCCAGGAATTCCTCGGTCTGATTTTGAACGCGATCGACGAGGAGTGTGCGCAGGTGATGTCGAGCGGAACAGCGAACGGTGCCCCTGAAGTACGTCCTACATCTTCAGCAGCGAGCGTCGCTGAGTCTCAAGATGGCGTGGACGGTTGGTTTGAGGTCGGTTCTAGACAGCGGGCCGTTGAGACGCGCTCTTCCGGAGGCAGCCAGACCACACCTATCACTCGGCTGTTCAGCGGACAGTATCGATCAGAGCTCCGTCGTCCTGGTGTCAAGGATTCGGTAACCACGGAGCCGTTCCAGTCTTTGCAGCTGGACATTGGCGCGCCGTATATCAACAACGTCGTGGATGCTATCAAGGGCTTGACACTCCCTGAAAGGCTCCAGGGCGACGCCGCGCCCATGACAAAGCAAACCTTGATCGAGACCCTACCACCAATTCTCATTCTCCACCTCAAGCGCTTCAAGTTCGACACGGAGGGAACCACCAAGATCGGCAAGAAGGTCGGCTACCCGCTCGACTTGCAGCTTCCCGCAGAAGTTCTGTCGAAGAGACGCCGCAATGCGCTCGTCGCCGAGGGAGCGGGCATGCCGAAGTACAGACTTACTGGTGTTGTCTACCACCATGGCAAGCAGGCCAACGGTGGTCACTACACGGTCGATGTCAGACGGCAAGACGAAAATGAATGGATCCGACTAGACGATACTGTCATCCGTCGCGTCCGTAGCGAAGACGTAGCTGAAGCTGGTGCGGAGGAAGAGGCTAAGGATAGCTCTCGTCCAGGAGCGTCTTCACGGGATGCATCCACGAACCGATTCGGTGCCATGGCAGACGAAGATGAGGGCGATGGTTGGAAGGAGGTTACCGCCTCAGCGAAGGGCGGAGATAAGGGCGACAAGAAGTGGAGCGCTGTCGCGAATGGCAACGGCTCGACCGTGCCCAAGGGGAAGCCGGCCAAGGACAACATCAAGGACAACAAGGTTGCCTACCTCTTGTTCTACCAACGCGTTTGAAAAAGCTACAGAAAAGCGCGGACCTGAAATCTAAGCAGAAGCTATCACGGCATTGAGGTAGAAGGGTGGCGCTTAGGGATGGGTTTGAAAAACGAGGCGGCGCTTCAACACAACAGACAACACAGGCGCAAGAGATTGCAAGTCTTATGGACACAGCGAAAGAGAGATAATGGGGGAGGCCGCCTCAACAACGGTACCGCAATATTCTCGATCTAATTTGACTACATCCTGCGGTCTAGTTGACAGAGCTCACCATCCCTCGGAGACTTAGGAGAAGAAGTAAAAAAAGTCGAAGAGTTATCTGTCTGCTTGTGGGGAGGTTTTTTATGAACTATCGGCGGTTATGGCGGAAGGTTCAGTAGTCTCAAGGGGCCTTCATGGTGGCCATTGGCGCGGGGTTGAAACGGGGAGTGATGGGGAGGAATCAATGATAGGACATGGACCAAAAAACGTCCCTGTAAGAATCCAAAAAAGCGTTGATGAAATGCTTCCTCGCCTGTACCGTGACATGTGTGATCTCACCAGTCAACTGCGGATGCTCGCACGGAAGGCGCCATATGCAACTCATGTCTGAGAAAGTGGGGTTGCGGATGAGGTGAGAGGCGGGCACGCAAACCTCTCACAATCACGCATCTCAACTCCCACCGGCATTCACCACTCGACGCCATTTCCTACCGCTTCCTCTCTTCAAAAGTCACATCTGTCCTTTTCCCTTCTGGCACACCGTAAACCAACGCGAAGATGCCCGCCCCGTCCACTCTTCCAAAGTACCTCTACAAAATCGTCCCCGAGGCGCCGCCGTCCCCGCTCCCGGAGGAGTACCCCCTCTCCGACCTCGACCGCAACGACGGCTTCATCCATCTGAGCACCGCCGAACAGGTACTATCTTTCCCCCTTGCCCTTGATTTCAACTCACATTCTGGCATCTTACACACAAGAAGAAGAGAGCGATGATAAGAAAACAATCAAACACTGACACAAAAAAGGTTCTCGGAACAGCCGACCGCTTCTTCTCGTCGGTCACGACGCTTTACCTGCTAAAGCTGCCCTACGCGTCCCTGGAGAAGGGAATCCAGTGGGACGATCTGCCGTCGGGCGGCGGGTGCTTCCCGCACCTTTACGGGCGCAACTTTGGCGCGGCGGATGTGGAGGAGGCGCGGGGGTTCACGAGGGCGGAGGGGCAGGTTTGGAGCGAGGTTTTGAAGGGGGATGCGTGGCTTGCGTAGAGTCTTTTGGGGGAGATTGTGGGAGATATAGAGGGAAGGCCCAACTGTGTGTCTGTGGTCTTCATGATCCAGAAAGTGCCAATATTCATGGTGAACACGAAAGTCTTCCAGTATTAACATGCAGGACTTGTCTGCAGATTGCTGTTGCTTGAGTATCGATGGTGTCTATTCTGCTGATGTCAACTCTGCTCATGTGGCACCGTCTTCAAATTATCCCAACAGAATAGTGAAAGAAAGGCCCATGGCGAAGATGTCCATGGACGAAACAGCTAGCAATCAGTTTCCAACTCATGATCATTCCCTATACCTAAAATTCTCGGGTCGAAATTTCCAGAGTTTGTTATAGGAATACCATCGAAATCGACACGAAACACATTACGCCGGCGTACGTCCTCAGTAGGGTGAGGAAACCATTCTTATATACGTATCCATTATTTTTATGGTTGTGTGCAAGTTAGCATCACAAACGAGCGTGAACTGAGAATCTCATCGGCGCAGGCGTTCACTTGACACATCTCTTATCTGGTTTAGTCTTTCTCGTCCACGGTCGTCGTTCGGTTCACTGAATATGATGGGATAAGCAGGAGATGTATATGAACACCATCCACGACCCTGAACCTACGAGCAGACGGGATGCACTGTGGACAGCGAACAAAATCATCGAAACGTTCGTTTCCGCGCAGAAGACTGGGTGTTATTTGATCACACACACACACACACACACATTTTTGGGTGGGTTTGAGTCTCATATCATAGACCCTTGAGTGATATATATATATATATATGTATTGAGCCTGAGGTCCATCAACTGGAGTAGAGTGAGCTCGAACGAAGGGTCATTTGCGGTTTCCAGACACCGAAAGAGAAAGTAGCATGAAACCAAGTTTGAAGGTACGAAATGAGGCTCTTTGCTAAAAATTCGTTGTCAATAGATTCAGGTACGAAGTTAGGCGGCTGCGGGTTCAGCTCCTGAAGGATACCATGCACAACAAGGGTATCCTTAACAGAGCTTTTTGGACATACCATCAATGAACCCGAATAAGTTACTCTATGTATCGCAATATCTAGTACACTTACTTCAGGTAACATCATCGCCCACATTACATATACCATGGAATATATGACATGTATAACGACAAGCTTCCAAGATGATGAAAAGTTTCCAAAACTAAAATGTGCCGGAATCCTTTAGGGTAGCTTCTTGGGTAGCATTGCGTGACTCAAAAGGACTCCCTGCTTTGAGGATCTTATCATGATAGGTCCTGACCGCCGCTGTGCTACTGGGCAGCGCACATTCAAGTCCGCGTCCATCACCGTCCATCGTCATCAGCGTATCACATCGTATTGCCTCTTCATGTGTGCGGCCAAAGGTTGTCATAAAATCGCTTTTCCTGATTCATACAGCTCTCCAAAGTAAAAATGGCCATTCAGCCGGTTGAGAGTTCGGTGGCCTGTCGTATTGCCGTACGAAGTATCAACACAAACATCTAGGCGTAAAATCCTTGAGGAATACGCCTTTACAGGCCTCTTTACAAGCTGGACAGTCTGAATCTACGCCCCTCTAAGTCTCTAAAGTAGGTTTCAAGAACTTATATCATCTCTCCTACAAGATATTCATGTATACTGGAAAGCCCGTTAGATGCTACTTTCAGTCAAACCATGTCTTTCTTGGCAACTTTGTCCTCTAAAATCAGCAATTGTTACTGACCCTTATCTATGACTTAGCATAGAGAGTAGTATCTTAAGTCCCTCATAAGTTCTTTCATATGTTGAAACTTACTCTTCGTCGTCGTCTCGCAACTCCTGCATATTCCGCAAGAAGAGACAAGGTTGAACACCTTCTGGAAGGGAGCTACGACGAATATCTCCCTCAATTTCCATAGTTACTGGTCGACTGGGTGATCCATCACAGACACTCTGATGGCGGGCAACGTCTCGTGATTCCGAAAATTTTGATCAATATAGCGTGTTAAATGATTCACGATGACAATCATCGTCCCACCACGAGACCTTTTCACGAGGTCATTTATAGTTAGCGGGGGCTAGGACAACGTCCTTCTCACTGCTTTCCGCATAAATAGCAGAAATCATACAACATTCTTCATCAGCAATCGTTGCAAGTGAAGAGTAGCGATCCAAATACTGCGGTGGTACTCGACTGCGACTCCGGTTCAGAAACTAAGCTAACTTTGGGCCGCGCTCTTCTCCGCACATCATCCTCTCTCGCCCCGATCTCACTCAGAACGTCTCTTTCTCATCATCTCCCATGGTCCTCGTCCCTGAAGTATTCAACCACGATGATTAATTATCGTGAATGACTTGTCTGTAGGCTCGAGAGGTCTCTGTAGTAATCTTTGTGTTGTCCTATCATCAAGAGGGAGACATATCGCTAGATAGATCACTCGATAGCGAGTGGGTTCGTCATTCCCTGTTGGTCTCCAGCCCGGATCATTGCTTCCCGTATGTGCCTTTTAAAAGAAAAGGCTCTTGAATAGATGTGCCTGGCACTATACGTGCCAGTTAGGATTCATATACGTACCACCGCCATACTCACCTTTTTAGAACTTGTGTTTTCATGTGAACCGAAGCTAGCAATGCTGGTTTCGTTATTTTCCCGCTTCTTCGACTGCCTCAACCAAGGAAGTGCCAGGTCCTCCTCAAATTCTATAATTTCATGTCAATCGACAGACGTAACCTCCAGCCTTCCCCCCTGTTCCTCATTTTCTGATGTGTATATAGACCATAATACAAGAGGATGCATGTCCAGGGTTTGTAGTCTTCGTCATGGAATCTCTTCACGCTCTCGACAGATAACACTGCCGGCACTGCTTTGAGATCATCGCTTAGATGCCAATCACGGGTAAAAAGCGCAAGGTATTGTATGTTTTTCTTTTCAGTATCTCTGCTTCTCTGGTGTATTTATACAGATACAACAAATCCACGAGCATCAAGACAACCCACCCGCAGCTTGCAATCAGCTTCACGGCCAACGGCCAGGAGGACTCTGGCCTTTGCAGATCGTTCGTCAACCTGTCCTGTCATTGCTGTTTGATGCTCCTCAGTCAAGCTTCTACGGCGTTAAAAGACTTCGGCTCTGCACCACGAATTTTATTTTCTTCAATATGATCGCGACCATATTTGTCGACTGCTGGGCAGCATGTTTGCCTCTACGCCTCATACCATCCGCCAAAAACGAGGTGTGCCTACGTCAAGAGTCCAAACAAACCGAAGGCTCCCTCGTCCTCCGTCGCCATGTCTACCCACCTGTTTAGAAGCCCGAATACGCAGTCGTATGAGCCTTCTGTCACAAAAGAGATAAAGTCACATGCCAGCCCAACGCAACGAAATCTGGAGGTGAACACTTCCAGTAAATAGATGGCAAGTCTGAACGCATATCGAAGAGGGCAGAGTTGATTTGACAGAAGGAAAATCAAACACCGAAATGTTACGTCTATATATACACACCTGCACATTTCCAAATTTGCGAGAAGGGAAGTTGTGGCTCTCTGATCAGAGGACCAAACCTCTCCGTAATGTTATCTAGGTACGCCTCCACGAGCAAGATCGTGTGTAGTTCAGAGTGGGCTTTCACCGCTCCATCGGTCACACGCAAAGACGGACATAACCAGATAGAGACTCAGTCAATAAGCGATAACTACGCATGCTTCACTGCCACTTCCCGCCAAGTTGATCAAGAAACGAGTTGGAGACAAAACAAAATGTATAAATTACGCCTCTTTGAACTCCCGAGTTTCCTCATACCCTAGATATCACACTTCATTCATAGAGAAAACTTTCACCAAGCGGGCCCCCCTCCCTCCCATTTGCGACGCCACTTTCATCACCCGGGTCCAATATTCAGAGGCCGTATAATGGACTCTTTCCCTTCCTATAATGGGAACGCATAACCATGATCTTCCCCTCCCTGCCCTATGCTAGCAGGTGATATAACCAAGTCTATTATTACAGCGAAACAACCTCCCTTTCGATGCGGTATGTATCGCCTGTTTTTCTCCGACCAAAAGTGCACCAAGCCGCTTCATCGATTCCTTCGAATTTCTTTTCGTATTTCCTGGCCGTGTCAAGGAATCCATGTCGAGCCAAAGAGAGAGAGAGAGAGAGAATGGGGTGTTTTTGGTAGTTGGATATATGGGCAGCGGAAAGTCGAACATGTGAGGATTCAGAGCATCTGACCAAGACCTGTGCCTCCCACCAGCCGTCCAAAGCCTGAACAAGCTTCTGGGCTGGCGTCGAAAAATGCTACTTTCCGTGGAAAGCTCCTGAGTACCGTGTGTGTGTGTATCGTTACGTGATCATACAGCGCCGTGTTCCGTCACCCGCATTCCGCGGATTAGTCAGAGAAATAAGTCGTACATGCGAAGAGAAGAACGTTGAAAATGCAGATCACGCTAGAATCATGCGTTTCCAGGCTTCTCCTCAGTATCGATATGCCAGACGACATAATTCGGCAGACCGACAACTCGGTAACCGGCACGCTTGGCCATCTTGGCAAATCCTTCCGTCTCGGCCTGGTTCTCGAAGGCGTAGCATGGGAAGTTGATTCCTGGGCTGATTAGCAAATGTCGTTGTCAAAGACGCGTAAAGACCAACCTGATCTGTGGACATCTCCCTTCACGAGAATGTTCACGCCGCCAATGCCATCGAGGTCAAGCTCTTCATCCTTATTGTTGCGCCAGTCGCCCTCCTTGGCCATATATCTGCGGCCAGTATCATACTCCTTGTAACCTATGTAATTGTAAGCTTGGTGCTAACTTTATAGATTCAAGATTCTTACCCTCAGCGAGGACGACATCCTTGTCAAGGGAAGCCGATAGTCTGCGACCCTTGTCAGACTCAACCCAAGAGTTGTAGTCAAAGCGCCCCTCAATGTCACGGCCATCGCGGTATCGGTGGAACCAAATGTCTATCGCAGAGTTAGCTGCATGCATTCCTCAGCAACATTAGGGCATACTGACTGGGAACAAGGATGTCGGTGTCGTGGGCAATGAAGTCCTCAAGAATCTTCTTGGGGCTGTCCACGATGTCGACGTCGCGCCAGTAGATCCAGGAGTGCTCTGGCTTCATGGCAGCGGACAGGAGGTAGTTGCGGGCGCGACCCATGGCCTTCCTTCGGGGACCCTGAGCCTTGAACGAGTGGCGCTCCTCGACGCTCTGGCTAAGCTCGAAGCCGAAGTCCTTCTCGACAACCATAGCGCTGTTGAAGGGGATCTTGTCAGGGCGGCGCTGGATGCGATCCAGTTCAGAGGCCAGGACTGCGAGAGTATCATCCTTGGAATCGCCGACCAGGAAAGCGAGGTCGATCAGGTGGTGGGGGTAGGTAAGCTCGGCAATCAGCTCGAAGTATTTGGACAGGTAAGGGGCGGCGTCCTTGAGAGGGGTAAGGATCAGGACGCGCTCCTCGTTGTTGACGGCCTTGCGAGTAGACTTGATGGGGTTGAGGTCGACGTGTTGAATGGAGGTGTGGTTGATCTCCAGGGGCTCGTGGTGGTTGAAGATGACGGGGGTCTGGAGGTGGCCAGCCCACGAAGCTTGCTCATTGAGCGACATCTCCATGGGGGGTTTCGCGGGGCCCCAGCAGTAGAAGCTATTTGCGGGCATCATATGTTAGCAGGCTTTCGTCTGGTACAATTCCGGCGCAGCGCATCGCGGAAGCAGGCGATTTTTTTTTTTTCGCACAACCCGACGAAGCGCTTACTGCCAAGGCGCGAAAGACATACCTCTGCATCTCAGAAGCTGACGTGCGAATGCCGCGCCATAGTAGTAGAATCATGCCCGTGAGGGCGAGCAGGAGAAGGAAGCGCGTCTTGGTGACGATGGCCCATATCGCTCTCGTGGGAGGTAGTCTGGCCTGGGCTGACTTCCAGTTGATACCGCCTTTGGGGAGAAGCATGGCTCCTATAGAAATGGGGGGTGGCCCTGGGACACCACCCTAAAAACCTATGTTTACAAAGAAAAAAAGGTCGTGTATCTGTTTGGCACGGCAGGCGTCCCAAATGGCAGCTTCGTCGAGGTTTGACGAGGTGCGAAGAGTTACTGGTGTCGTCGAAGTCGTCGTTGTGGTCGCAGACGGCCTTGGTATTGGCGAAGTATACCGCGGATGGTAGCGGCGGCTTCGGCGGACGGTGATGTAGGTTCGCGCGGAGCAAAAGGGTGACACGAGCCTCCCCAAAAAACGAGGTCCGAGTCGATCAAGTTCGAGTCGGGCAAGGGAGGTGGTTGATTGGGCGGTTTCGTGTCGTCCGATAGATAGCAGTCGTGGCAGCACAGCAGGCTCACAGAAGGGGGTGGGCCAAGGCTGGTGGTGGTGCTGGGCGAAAGTCGAATCTCGATTGGAATTGATAAGAGATGGGTATTCCGCGGTTTGTCGGTGTTTGGACGTGTGGTTGTCGTCGCGCGTTGTTGGTGAGAAGAGAGTTTGGGGAGTCTGCTCTTTCAACCGGGGATCCTCTTGTCTTCGCCTTGCGTTCTTTGAAGAAGCGCTATGGTTTCGGCCAGAGTTTTTGTCGAGAACAAGAACGAGGGACGTTCGGGTAAGCCCAGCGGGAAGGGGAGGGAATTGGGAAAGGAGCCACGCCAAAGGAGCCCCCCCGAAAAAAAAAAGGGTCGACCGGGAGGACAGACCTTGGTGTGGCAGGCTTGGATGGGATAGGCTAAGGCGAGAGGCAAGGTCGAGGCAGGCTTGGGATGGTGAGGGTGAAGCGCAGGAGACAGGCCAGTCAGAGGGGGAGGAGGTACATGCAAGCACGGATGCGCAGAAGCTAGGCAGGCACAGAGCACAGATTACAGGTGTCACAGGCATAGGACAGATGCCCTCCGTCACTGAAGGACCTCTTCTGCCAAGTACGGGAGCCTTAGTAAGGAAGCTGCTAAGGTAAGCTGGCAGCGAGCCCAGCCCAGGGTAGGTACCTCAGTTACCTCTGAACGGATGCACAGAAGCTGCAGCCCGCGGTTCGTAGAGCGGGAGAATACGAAGACGCAGCCAATGGTGATGCTCCGAAAAGTTTATTCAGGCTTGACAAGTATCGCAAAGTATCGATTCAGAGCTTGAGGTAGCGGTTGGCGAGATTGCCTCAGTTGCCAAGCGCTTCTGGACTCAGGAGAGAGGAGAGACTGCGCCGGAACCTCACGGTACCTCCTTCCGCGCGCCCAGCGACAGAGGGGGACCTCGGGAGGTGCTCTGCTGCTTCCAGGCGTGCAGCTCGCCATTGGGGATAATTTGCAGGACATATTTGATCCCGTCCTGCCAACAGCGCGAAAAGCCAGGATCAACGACATCGGAACTTGGGGCTGGCCTGCTGCGCCTGTTGGATCTCCCCCCGTTCCAAGCTTCCTTGCTCCATGCCCATATCTCATCCCATCCCATCCTCATCCCCTTTTCCAGCATCAACCACCCAGCGCTCAGCGTTGCTCAAAGCCACAAGCGACATCGACAGCAGTTCCATCAGTCAGTCAGCCTGAAGGAATCGTCAGGATCGTTGTGTGATCCCGTCGTCGTCCTCGCCGCCAATGGCGAATGGTCGAGAATCAGCTGAAGACACCTCAGCGCCCGCCAAGGAATGGTTATCTGACGGGAGAGGATAAAGACTTGCAGGCCTACCCCAGTGTTCTCCAGGGGGGGCCGCGGGAGAAGGAGACAGAAAGAATGGCCCGGCCGAGGGGAGTCCGCGCCCCCTCCCCTCAGCACCACAGATCACAGACGCCCATGGAATCGTCCATCATGGTCAGACCAGCTCAAAGGATCTGGATCGTCGCAGCATCGAAAGAAGGACGAAGCTCGAAAAGCGCATGCCATCTACCAGCCCGTCCGCCCTCCATCTTCAGGGTCCAAGGGGACACTCAGGTCAACTCAAGTTGCTACGCAATATAAAAAATCGGCATGAAGAATAAATACAGCGGCACAGAATTCTCCTCCGTCTTCCCTGGCATAGCTTCCCCAAATGGCGCCGTGGCATTCGATACCTGGGCCTGGGCGCAGAGCATCAGCTCCACCCTTGCTTCTTCCAATATCCGATGTCACGGCACCACATACCATCGCAGGAAGCGCTTCCCCGATGCCTGGCCTTGCTGTTCTTTTTAACATTACCTTGGCCACTCGCTTGTCGCTTGTGGCACGGCACATTTCACCGTTCAAGCTCTTCGTGCATGCCGCACTACTGTACCTAAGGTGCGAGTAAAGGGAGGTCAAGACATTTATCTCTTTCTGCGTGTGCTAATGACCTAATGAGAACCCCTCAAAGCTGCAGCCCAGATTTCATTTCTAGGCAGTCTCAGAGAGAGAAAACATGACGATCAAAAAAGGGGAACACATTGGCAATGGGCGCAGCCAGCCAAGCAAGCAGTCGAAAGCCACACGAAGCGAGAGGGGGAGGAAGATCACACTGACCAGCCAGTCAAGGATCATGATTAAAATCTCCAATCCCACACTCTTTCCCACGCGCGACACGCACGCGATCGCCACAATGCCACCCATATCACTCGCGTCACCACCAAAAAAGAAGAAAACTGGAGAAACCTCTGTCATCTCCTGCCGTGGCCTGACGACTCCCCCCCTCTACCAAACAATTGCTAGCGGCTGGACTCTGGGACACAGACAGCGGGAGGAACAATGCTTCTCCATCGCTCTCCAGTAGTTCCCGGGCCTCCAGAGCCCCCGTTGAAAGATGGAGCAGATATCCGTACGCTGAAGCGAATGCAAAAAGTCGTCGTCATCCGCCTTCATCAGAGAGCATGACGACGAACGGGGGCTTCCTCCTCCCCCACATTTCCGTCCGTCGTCAATCATGCTGCTGCTGCACACCAGGTTACAACGACAGCCGTGAGGGGAAAGAAACCAGACGAGAGGCAAAACTCGATATCATTTGATCACCCAGCCGGATCATATCAGACAGTGTGGTCGCATTGCAATGCATTGCAGGACTTGAACACGAGCGGAGTGGCTACCCTTTCCCCCACGCAAGTTCGTAATTCCTTGGTATCGACACCCAGAGGACCTGCAGTCAGCGGCGGACCCGGCTGCGGATACGGATACCGCTCCCCGCAAGTAGTCCCCAACAGCCGGCGCGGCCGATTGACGTCGATCCATCGTCCTTAATAAATATAGCAACATGCCACATACATCGACAGGTCCGCGATGGTGGAAAATGTGGAAAAGGTCTCCTCTATTGGTACCAAAATTCATCATGTAGGTTCCTCCCCGGAAACGGCAATTTCTTCTACTTGGTAGATGGACGATGGAAATCGGAACGCCCGATACGGATAAAGTGCGAGCCGATATGCGTGTTTCCAGATCATATCACCACCCATATCGGAGGCTCTGAACAAAAGGCACGTCAAGATCCGTGCTGAGAAAACGACTGTGAACAAACTTCTGCTCTGTACCTATTCTCGCGTGACATCCATCGGACGGGATTAAGTAAGCCAAGCGTCTGCCTGTCAGCGAATGAGGCAGGCAGATTTACCTTCCAAAGGCAAGTGCTGTCATCGGTAACCTACCTCACTTGGCTCTTACCCCAATACCTCGGATGACAAAGCAAGGGCGTAGCGGCTGAATCTGTTCGCCATCTCCATTGCTGTGAATGACAACGACATTACCGCAGACCAAACTGTTTTTTTTCGCAACATCGCCTGTTCTGCGTCGCCGTCTGATGTTGAAGTGTGGAAAGAATACTGTGCTCACGCTCTCGCAATCTCTTGAGCTGAAGCCAATGGCCCTCGAATGAAGCTGTGCCTGCCCCGTTGCTTACCGAACTCTGGCCAACTTGCACGGGCAACCGGTCTTTTGATATCTTCACCTCGCAACTCGGTCCTTACCTCTGGCCGTCTACAACTTACCGCGAGAAATCCCAACTCCTTACAAAATCACTCTGGGTTATACTTGTGGTCAAAGACATCACGAACCATGGCGACTCGACGCTCGGCGCGGCTCAGCGCTCAGCCAGATATAAAGCTCCCGCCGCCTGCAGTCAAGCCCCCGCCCAATCAGAGCCGCAAGAGGAAGACACCCGCAGCAGCACCTACGGATGCAGCAGCTCCGTCCTCGGACCCGGTCACCCCTCCGCGAAAGCGGGCCTCGAAGGCCGCCGCGGCTCCGGTCACCCCCGTGCTGCCGCCCCCGATGACGCCCACGCCGAGCGCGGTGGGTATCATTGCGGAGAGGATCAACGGCACCGCGAAGCCCAGGTCGAGGGCGGTCAACAGGTTGGCAGACCCGAAGACGACCAACGCGCCGGTTATCTCGCCCGAGACCTCGCGGGTGCTCGCCTCTGATCCCATCGAAGCACCGTCACCAACCAAGGCAGCTAACGCTCCCGCCGCTGGGAAGCGGACGACGACGGCCAACATCCTGGAGGAGGCGTGCCGTCATCTCATCGAGGTCGATCCCCGCATGAAGCCGCTGATTGAGAAGAACTACTGCCGCGTCTTCTCGCCGGAAGGACTGGCTGAGAAGATTGACCCCTTCGAAAGCCTCTGCAGCGGCATCATCTCGCAGCAAGTCTCCGGCGCCGCTGCTAGATCCATCAAGAACAAGTTCGTTGCCCTCTTCACCGACGAAGCCAACGGGGAGGAGGAGCAGCCCAAGAAGAAGTTCCCCCAGCCTTCTGAAGTAGCCCCTACCTCCATTGAGCGTCTGCGCACCGCCGGCCTGTCGCAGCGCAAGGCAGAATACGTCAAGGGGCTGGCCGAGAAGTTCGCGAGCGGCGAGCTGACGGCCACGATGCTGGCGGAAGCGCCCTACGAGGAGGTCCGGGACAAGCTCATTGCGGTTCGCGGTTTGGGGCTGTGGTCCGTCGAGATGTTCGCCTGCTTCGGGCTCAAGAGGATGGACGTCTTCTCGCTCGGCGACCTTGGCGTGCAGAGGGGCATGGCGGCGTTCGTCGGCCGCGACGTGGCTAAGCTGAAGGCCAAGGGCGGCAAGTGGAAGTACATGAGCGAGAAGGAGATGGCCGAGATGGCGAGCCCGTTCGCGCCGTACCGGAGCGTCTTTATGTGGTACATGTGGCGGGTGGAGGAGACCGATATAAGCACGCTGGAGTAAGGTAGCTAGCTCTGCCCGTCAAGCTTTCCCTTTCCCCATCAATATTAACCCGAAGCTCGGGTCGTCTCGCTGTGTTCATCTCCAGTTGCGGATGCCATAATTTGACTTGTGTGGAGTTGTTCAGCAATACGAAGTCCCGTTAATACGAGAATTTCTGGCTCTGATCTTCCTGTCCCAGGCCCCAAAACGGGAGGCGGAAATCGTCGGAATGATCTCCCAAGGCTGAGGGACCCGAGTCATCTTAGCCTTTTGGGATTGAGTGAGCGGACTGACGGACAACTCTGTTCGTATAGGTGTCAACCCATGTTCATCTTTGGCGAAGTTGGGTTCCCGATGTAAACAAGCTTTTGGACATCACCTAGCCTCCTCGCGTGACAGTCAGAATTAGCCTTGCAGCCCAGGGTCTTTTTCCCCGAGTCAGCAGGCCGCACCTCTCAACCCCAGACTGCAATCGGCGCAGTTGTGTGTGAAGTTTGCGAGGCGGGTTGCGGCTTGAACGGCGCACTGCACGAGCGCCGCAAACAAATAGCATCGCACGTGCGGAAGGGCGACGGCATATAGCTGCCGCGGCCCGGATAAAGGCACGAAAAAGGCGGCTCGTGGCAGGAATTGGAGAAGTGCATCCCCACGCTGGCTAGCCGCGAATAACATCATTTACTGCGTACAAGAGAGCTGAGCCCGGTGAGCGTCAGCCAAGGATGTCTATGTTTGAAGTCTTGTCGCAGGATGAACTCGTCGTTCGTTGGCTTGGGCATAATAGCTGCTGCGGTTCGAACATGTCTACCAAAATATCCGACAATTGCGTCAGAGGCCGCAGGGTAAGGCCTGTCCATTGTTTGGTGTTTCCAGGCCTGGACGAGGCTACCAATAGAGAGAGCGACTTATGACTGTCAGAACACAGAGATGAGGGCCCCGAGACGATCTGCCGCACCGTCGTCTGAGAACGAGACTCAGTACCAGATTTCGCCGGTAGGAATAGCCAGTCGCGATATAGATCAGCCGCGAAGGAAGATCAACTGTGCAGGTCTGTTGTACGGAAATCTCCAGGGCATCTGTTTGGCCAGAGCCGTTCGTGCCGTTGACGGTTGCCAGGAACGGCAGCCACGGCAGAGCCACCAAAAAGCCTGGAAACTGTGGCAGACACCCCTGCAGCGCCTGCAAGATTGGGGGAGCCAGGATGAACGCGGATAAGCCGGGGCCTGGGGGGGAAAGAGAGGGCGTGGCGCTAGTGACAGCCACGGCATCAGCAATCTTTGAAGATGCTGCGAGGCCAAGGCAAGAAGATATCGAAAAGGAAGACTGGCATGTGGTATTATGATGGGTTGCAGCGGCGCAATCTCGTCCATGTTTATTTTCCGCTGGATCTGCTGCTTCTGCCAATCCGACCTCCTGTATTCGGATGGCAATATCGGATGCTGGCTCGCAAAGGCGCAGAGGCCAAGAGGCGAATTTCGACCAGCAAGACATACTAGACAGACGGGTGACTGGCGGGCACTTGGCGCCGGGGCGGAATGGCAGCAGAACGAAAAGAATGCCATGGACGAGTCAATGGAGTTCTGAACCACGGTCTCGGCACGGCGTTGTGGAGGAACACGGCCGGGAGGTAGCCGTTGGTCCAGCCATTCAGAGACAGGAGCGCTGTCGTGAGCTGCTGAAAAGTCAGGGCAAACTTCCATGGTACGTGGGCCGACCCTCATCAGCTAGACATGGACGGGCAAGTGGGAGGCGATATTGTCGTCAGCGCTCAGCCGCCTCTTCGCAAGAGATATGCCGGGCTCGCTGCTGAGAATCGAGATGCGCGCTGGCGCGTTCTTGGACAGTTTTAGCGTCGCCGAAAGAAGCGTATTGAAGTGGCTAGTGACGCAAAAATCAGTGACAAAATGCGATGTGTGGTGCTGGCAGTGGTGGTTTTGGGGTCTCGTATCGCTTCTGTGGTTGGTGCCGGGTATGTACGCCGTCTCATCCAGCGCCTCACTGCTGCACAGTCGATGCACAGTCGCTGCACCGCAGATGGGATAGACTGACAACACTGCAGCAGCGCAGACGATGGGGATACATGGTGGCATTGGTACCAGGGAGGGCGTTCAAGTGCAGAATGCCAGCTGCAGCGGACGGACCCCGGCCCGCCCACACTGACTTCCCGCAGTGGCAGCGCTGCATCTGAACGAATGACAACCTGCAGCGCAAAGTGTTCCGGGTCTCCAAGTTCCTGTCGGACGCGTCGCGCTATCAGCACAGCCTTCGAACCAACTTTTTTTTTTTTTTTTTTTTTCTGCTGTTGTTGGTGGTGTCCCGGGGGCCGGTTTTATGAGCAGGGCCGGGGAGGTTGCAATCCATGATTTGATAATGTGCGAACGGTTGCTTGTGCTGGTTTGGAGCCGACCGTATGTAGATTGAGCCGATATTTGAATTCCGTTACAAAACTTGCTTCTTTGCGAACCCTCGTCTTCCAGCTGCAGTTCCAGGCCACGGCTTCTGCCCATCGCCATTCGGATGGCCGAGCAACTGCGTCATCGAGTGCCGCGGGTGAATGTGGTGCTGGCAGCCCTGAAATGATGGTCTAATCAATCAAAACGGCAGACTGGCGACAAGATGAAACATTTTGTGGATGAATTGTTGAAGGTTGTTGTGTTAGCGAACGGGCGGTTTTTTATTCAGCTTGCCTGGTCCTGTCCGCGGCGGCCGGTAGTTGCTGGCAGTTGCACTGTACTTGGTGCAGGTTTGACACCATTTTTCGAAATTCGACGGCCTCTTACCAGGATGGAGGCCGACGGGATCAACGATGGATCATGGGGATAGACGGTTCGCTGGGCTTTTGTTCGATGATTTGAGCGACAGGTTTCGGGGCTGCTTGCTGTTGTGGTCGATTGGCCCTTGGAGCGGCGGCGCGCAGAACGGCGGTAGGCGGGCAGGGGTGTAGACTGGAGGAAAGGTCGAACCGCAGATTGATTGCCAGAAGAGGCCTGGCTCGGCAGCCTCGGTCTTGATTGGTACTGGAATGGGAAGAAGGGTGGATTGGGGGAGTCCTTGGTTCAAGCTGTTTGTGACACTTTTGAAGCTGGAGAGGAAGTCCCGGCGCAGGCAATGTGCGTCTGATGGGGCCTCAGGCGCAGCCGACCCCCTCTGGCAGCAGTGCCAGAGTCTCAGAGTGGCCAGCAGTGGGCACCCGGCCAGTCCAGCTTGTCCATCGTGTCTGACCTTGGCAAGGTTTGTGTTTGAGAGCCGCCAGTCGCTGTCCAAGAAAACTGCGGATAACTGGAGCGGCGAAGAGTCCGTCGGTCCTTAGCTTTCCTCCATTCTTCTGATATGGATGCCGGTCCCTACTGGTACAGGGAACGATGTTGCAATTCATGTAAGGTACAGACAGCGATCGGTGGAGGCGACCAGCGTCTTGATTGCTGTTATTTGTTTTTCTGGTCGCTGTCGGTGTGTTGTGGTCGAAGATGGGCGAATATCCTGCACAAGAAATCAATAAGTTCAAGGTTTGGTTCCGGGCCCGTCGGTCGATTGTGCATTGACTAGCTTTTTCGTCGTAAGTTGCTGCGTCGTACAGGAGCAATGTAGTTTTATGACGATGGCCCGCGTGTTGAAATTCCTGCATGGAAAAGTCTCGACTCCTCTTTTCACCTCGTCACTGCAGTTCGTCCTATGTAGGATACCTTTACGGTTGTCAAGTGAGTCAACTGCAGCGAAAAAAAAGAGTTTTGGCTGACTGTTGCCCTGCCCATAGACTTTGAGGCCTAGCATTGACACCACAGCGACCTTTGTTCAGCAGGTTTGTGTCTGTCTGGACTTCTGTTGTGCTTGTGCCTGTGCCTGTTCCTGTTCATCTTTGCGACAGCCACACCCTCTTTTCTGCTAGCGCGGCACCCCACCCTCCACTCTTCATCTCAACCCCTTGCCCCTGGATGCACCAAAGTGGCTCCCGATAGACGGAGCTAGGCCAGAAACCAAGACGTTCAAATCTCGCCAGAACGGTGGGAAGCAGGACAATTATTGGCATTGCCCAATGGGTCCTGGTTTCTCTCCGGCCGTCACCACTGCCATCCACCATCCCATCGCGATTCCATCATTGCTCGAGATTTTCTATCATGTTGGCCGCAGGGTTTGCTTTCTCTATCAGGAAGCGACAGAACGGTCCAGAGTCGGCAGATAAAAAAACAATGCCTGGAGTCGAGAAAGGGGTAGCGAAGCAAGGCGAGCAGGGAGGCAGGCTCTCAGACGGGGATCAGATGCAGATGGACCGAAGTCAATTCAACCCACTGACGGCCGCCAATTCGTATTGCTGGCCGTCACGACCGTCATCGTCATTGATTGACAGACTTTTGCTTGCTGCCACCGTCTGCCAGTCTCTGTCTGCTGCCATGGCTGGCGGCGGCGAGTCCGTGGTAGAAGCACAGAATCTACACCTGACTATTGTGCCAAGTGTACGTATTAATCGAATACGCGGTCTCTGATAGTGTGTATCCATCATCGTCTACCTGACGGTTGAGCAATGAGCAAGCAGCCAGCACAGCACAGCACATGGAAGACAACACCCAACGGCAGCCCTCTCGCAGTCCGACAGTCGTGTCAGTCCAAGCCAATCCGTCTTGGCTCCTGGCCATCTCCCATTTCTCGACGCCGTCCTGACTTGACGGTCTTGAGTCTTGCTTAACCACACACACCCACGCCGGCGTCTCCTGGGCCTAATCCCTGCCATGGTTACTTTGTATCCGCAGTCTGCACCACGAATAGCAGCGTGATAATTGCCCTGACCCCCCTCCTTTCGGGCCATCCCCTGTCTCCCTCTCTGCAAGCCCACACTTCAGTCCCCCCCTTCACCTGCAGTGTTTCCCCTTCAAGCCACGCCCTCCCTTCTTCCCCCGACCCCCAAGCCTGAGGACCTAAGACCAAGACCAAGACTAAGACCTTGGACTGACCTTGACCTCTCTCTTCTCCTTCGAAAGCACCACACAAAGACCATTCGTATCCCTTCCTTCCCCCAGACCTTTTCTCCCTCTTCCCTTTTCCGTGACAGCTTCATTCTGTTCGTTTTGACCTTTCAATTCCCGTCTCTCGTTCACCTTACTACCCTAAAAGGCTGTCGTTTCCTGCCTAATCTTCCTTTTCTTTAACCTCAGAAAAAGAAGAACAAACACACACGTGGATAAAGGTACGTAACCGCTGCCGACGTGACTCCGTGCAACGACGCAGAAACAGCAGGAGGAGGAGAGGGAACCCGAAGCCGATCAAGGAAGGAGACGCAGGAAGGAAGGACCGGACGCACCTGCTCTCTGCCAATGCTCGGCAGAAAAACTTCCAACGGGAATCACCTCTTCTCCTGTCCACTGCTCTGTTGTCGCCTCTCCCTTAGCCCACACTACACTTGCCACCACCAAAACACAAGCCATCGTCGACGCCTGCAGAAAAAGGAGGCAGTGGCTCTTCCCTCGGAAACACAACAGAAACATACCCCAAGCCCCAGCTCCATCCAGTCCACTTCCAACCTGGATTGGCACGCCTGATTCACTCTCTTCCTCCCTTCTCAATTTCTCTTCAACAATCGTCGCGCTTTTTGGACCGCAGCTTCAGAGTTATCGACCTGGAGCAGACCGCGTCGACCGCCCCCCAAACAAATCAACGCTTTCATTATCATTCCGCTTCAACTATCACCGCGAGCCGCTGCTCTCGAATAATCTGCTGACCCCGACTCCTTCAGCGACCAGAAATCAATCACAATGCAATCCAAGCTCATCCCCGCCCTCGCGGCCCTGGGTGCTGGCCTCGCCTCCGGTAAGTTGATCACAAGTGCGCTTTCGCCGCGAACACCATGGACTAACCCGCGATCACAGCCCAGAGCAGCAACATCTGCTCCTCGGCGACAGTCACCGTCACCGATGCTGCCATGGCCACCAACATCCCCTGCACCACGATCCAGGGCTCCGTCAAGATCTCCGAGGATATCTCTGGTAACATTGATATCAACGGTCCCAAGACCATCAAGGGCGACCTGATCGTTACGAACGCTACCAACCTTGTCGGCCTTTCCTCCTCCTCGCTCGCCACCATCGAGGGCAGCTTCACCATGCAGGGCCTGACCCTCCTGTCCGACCTCCGCTTCACCCAGCTTGCTACCGTCGGCTCCATCAGCTGGATCACCCTGCCCGCTCTCGGCTCCCTCGTCTTCGGAACCGCTGGTGTCACCAAGGTTAACAACATCGTCATCAGCGACACCTTCCTCAAGTCTCTGGACGGCCTGAACGTTGCCTCCGTCGATGAGCTCCACATCAACAACAACAAGAACCTGGTTTCCTACAGCAACCAGCTGGCTAACGCCACCAAGACCATCGAGATCAACTCCAACGGTGCCGACTTGGGTATTACTCTCCCCAACCTTATCTGGGCCAACGAGATTATTATTGCCGATGCCGCCAAGGTTGAGATGCCCTCTCTCGAGGTTGTCAACTCCTCCATCAAGTTCGACAAGAACACCTTCACCGAGTTCATCGCCCCCAACTTGACCCAGTGCAGCGACGGTGATGTTTCCTTCATCAACAACGTCGAGCTCGCCAACCTTTCCCTGCCCCTCCTCACCAAGACCGGCGGTGGTCTCACCATCCAGAACAACACCCTCCTCCAGAAGATCGATGGCCTCCCCAAGCTCGAGCAGATTGGTGGTGCTGTCCTCCTCCGCGGTAACTTCTCTGAGTAAGTCTTGTCTATGCAGTTGAACCGAAACCATTGCTAACAGTATGTCAGGGTCTCTATCCCCGCTCTCGACGACGTCAAGGGTGCTTTCGACCTCCAGTCCACTGGTGATATCGACACCTCTTGCGACGTCTTCAACAAGATGGAGGGCAAGCAGATCCAGGGCGAGTACACCTGCCACAGCAACAACACCAACGCCAACTCTGACTCCGGCACTGGCGGCAGCGCCGGTGGCACCAAGTCCGGTGGCTCTGAGGGTGCTGCTGGCATCGTCTCTGTCAACACCGCTGTCCTTTCCCTGGCCATTGTTGGCGGTCTGGCTCAGCTCCTGTTGTAAACGACTGTCACTGGGTCAGGTTTCGGATAATGGTGGCGTTCTCCATACATCTTTCACTGTTTGTGCAATTTCTTTAAGTCCAATTCTGTTTTAACAGCTTGCGACACCCCACGCATTCCCTAGACTGGGAACCTCCTACGTATAGGAAAACCTCTAGACTTAATACCGGACGGCGGGTACGGAATACCCTCGTCGACTTTTCACTCCCTTTGCGTGACGAACCAAAAGCACAGGGCATTCCGTTACGTCCTCTCCACCATAGCGCTCGGCCTCGACCATGGTGCGCTCATCATCCCGTCCGGACTTTCTTGGGAATAGTACGGCTTGGTCGGGTGGCAGGCCGAGTGCTTGGATGACAGTGGCCGGATACGGGAGGCGGAATGGAAGATTCGTGGTGGACGGAGGCGTGAGATTGATGCGATACGGAGGTGGTTAGGCAACGAAGATAGAGAGGGTTGTAGTGTATTGAGGATCCATGATGTGTATACCTTTACTTTGTCTACTTGTTCCATTCTCGTGACACATTTTTCCGGTGACATTCGTCATGAATTAAGCGTAAGCTGCGAGTGAAAATCATATGGTGGCGCCCACCACGTGTGTGAGATTATTCGAGGCCCTTGACTAACTTCAATAGTTCATGCGCCGAATTATATACAGTAAAGTGTCATGGCCAGAGCTACATCGCAAACTATCGATATATGCCCTGCTCAAACTTGGCCGTGTCGTAGAACTTGGGTATCACGGTATTGCCGTTGAAAATGCGCCCGTCAAGTTCGTTTACAGCCTGCGGTGAGTGTGTCAGCGCCTTATCTACTCCCACAAGCCCAGGCCAGGTAGGGCCTTTGACTTACACGAAGCGCAGATACCTGATCCGTGAATCGAATGAAGACCTGCCGGTTCTCGACATCGATGTATAATCGCTCTACACGACCGTACTGCAGATTGGTGTTAGTAAGTCAACACAAACTTGCCAGCAAACATGCAAAGGGTGGGGGGTTGGGTGCTCGCTCTTCTCTCACCTTCTCGCCGCACTCCTCGCCAATCTCCTGTCCTAGCCCGTTGGCAATCTCGCCCTGCAGGTCCTCCATGTTGTCCAGCATGTGCTGGAGGACGATGACCTCGCTCATGGGCCCGCCGAACTTGCCGCCGCCCTCGCCCTCTGCGTCCTTGCGCTTGCCGCCGAGGATCTTGGCGCGGTTGGCGGGCTCGGCCCAGCCGCCGCCCTCGGCGTCGGACTTCTTCTTGCGCTTCTCGACCTGCACGCGCAGCGGGTTGACGATGCCGCCCTCGTCGGCGCCGAGGCCGGAGCCCTTTGTCCAGCCGTACTTGGACATGAGGCGCTGGGCGAAGCCGGCTTGGCCTGGGCGGTTGGAGCGCGGGGCGTCGGCGTCTTCGTCTGGGGCTGCTGCTGTGGAGGAGGCGCCGAGGCCGAGAGTCGGCGGCGGGGAGGCGGAGGCGGATCTGGAGGGTTCCTGGCGGGTGTAGCGGACGGGTGCGCGGGAGATTGTTGCTTCGTCTGCCGGCGGCGGGAGCGGAGGGGGGTTCGAGGAGGACATTGCGAGGCGGCGGGCGTAGGCGTCGTCGCCTGTTGCGTCGTTGGGGGGCGGAGGTGCTGCTGAGGCTGCTGGTGGTGGTGGTGGTGAGGCTGGGGGAGGGGGGACGAAGGAGTATTCTGCGGGCGGGGCGAATTGGTCTTGAACGTTTCACAGATGTTAGCCTTTTCCGCACGCATACGCTTCTCTTTGAAGCTGTGAAGGACTCACTCGTCGCCGGCCTGGCATCCTCCTCGTCGCTGTCGTCGCTGACGCTCCTCCCGCGGCGGTGGCGGTACAGAAGCCGCTTCCACTCCTGGACCTCGCGGATGCGCTCGTCGCTGCGGAGGTACTCCTCGACGTTTGTGGGTTTGGAGGGGTCGTAGATGTCGTCCCAATTGGTCTCGACATGCTGGTCGTGGTTCTTCTTCTTCTTCTTGCGGCGACCGCCGCGCTGGTGGGAGCGGTCCGGGGGCCCGCCGTAGCGGAAGTCGTCGTCTTCCGTCGTCGCGGTCCAGTCTGCGAGGGTCGTCTTCGGCGGCGGAGCGGGAGCTGCTGTTGCTGTTGCTGCTGTTGATGGCGCTGTTGTTGAGGACGGTGCCGCGCCTGGAATGTGTTTTGGGAATGTCGGTTTCGCTGGCTTTGAGGATTTGACCTGCGGGCGACGGATGGGTTGGAAGCGCAGGGCTGGGCAGGTTTGTTAGTTGAGAGGCAGAAGGGGGATGGTGGATGGTGATAATTACATGGATCTATAAGCTTCTTCGCCGCTGCTTCATCCTTGGCGTCGCCTGAGGAGGCATCTTGGTTGTAGCGGACTGGCGCGCTGGATATCGTCGCGGAGGAGGAATCGGCGGCCGGGTCGAGGAGGTTTGCGTAGAGGGACAGTCCGCCTCGCGCGGGAGGAGGCGGAGGAGGCGGCGCTGCCATTGAGCGCGTTTTAGAAGGTTCCGAAGCTGTAGGAGAGTTTGATGAGCTAGATGTATGTGCTTGGAAAGTGGCGTGGCGCGTACGGCCGTCGTTTGTGTTGGTGAACCGTAGCTATCTCAATCGTCGCAAAGAAGATGCAAAGCCGCCCTTAGCCTGGTTCGCGAGGCGGAGTTGAAGCTGACGGGAGCTGCTGGAAAGACCCACCCGAATCAAGGTCCCGGAGCGCAGGTGCAGCAGGCACTCCAAGGTTCTGTCATGGCTGCGGGCCCGTCCGCCTGGGTGGTTTCAGCGCCTTAGGCCTCTCGCTGGACCGCTGGGGCCACTGGGCCACTGGAAACCCACCCCCTGCGGGATGCGGCACGGCGCCCAGCTTTGCCGCGCAATTCACGGTCTCCCCTGGGGCATTCAAGGCACTCTTTTGCTGGACAAACCTGGAGGCGGGTATCTTTCAGTGGGTGGTCCATATGGAACACGGCAAAATGGGACCGGGGCAATCCGGCTTGTCCCAGGCTGGGCTGGCGTCCTGAGCACATCATCGTCCTAGCCAGGTTTCCTCTTCCCTATCAGACGAGGATTTATCGTTCTTTGCGCGTGGTGGTGGTTTTTTTCTCGGAACATGTTCAAACATTGACTTGTACTTAACTCAATCTGCATCCTCACCGTTGAACGGCACTCATTTTCCCGGTCTGGACCCTCAGCTGGTAGTCGCTACATCTAATTCCTATTCGCGCACTCTGCATCTACAAAGGCAGACCTCGTTCGTCCCGTCTCTGTCAAGCCCCCCGAACCTTCTCCGAATTCGCTTGTGGTGGTGGTTGCAATCCGAACTGCCGGCGCGCATCGCATCGCATATTCATCACACCCTGAAATCCTCCTCCAATAAGGCACCTCAGGACTGTTGTGTACAAGTGACCAAAGAGGTTGCACGGCTTAGCTCAACATGGCATTGACTCTCCAAACCGCAATCAACGGCCCGGCCAACTCGCCCGCCGTCATCATCCCGTCCAAGCCCGCCCTGACGGCAACCTACGGCGACCTTGTCCGCGAGACCGCAAACTTTCAAGGCAAGCTCGCCGCCATCGGCATCACCACCGCCTCCCCCGTCTCCATCGCCACCGTCAACTCGTATGAGTTTATCGTCTCGTTCCTGGCCGCCTCATGGCAGCGCGGCATCGCCGCCCCCCTGAACCCGGCCTACAAGCAGGACGAGTTCGAGTTCTACATCGAGGATGTCAAGTCTGCCATCGTCCTCGTGCCCAAGGGCGCGTACGCCGCTGGTGCACCTGCCGTGAAGGCTGCCCAGAATTTCAATGCCGCCGTCGCAGAGACATACTGGGATGCGGCGAAGAAGGAAGTTGCGCTTGACGTGAAGGAGTTGGGACAGCTCAAGGGCAAGGGACCTACGCAGGTGCTGAAGGCGCAGCCAGACGATGTCGCGTTGGTGCTTCACACCAGCGGAACCACCTCCCGTCCCAAAGTTGTGAGTTTTTGTGAGCTTTCGATGAATAGTCCGATACTGATAGTGAGCAGGTCCCTCTCACCCACCGCAACCTGACCAGAACGATGAGTGAGTTCTCAGTCTCATATCGTCTTCACCTTGTCACCCGCTAACATCAACAGAAAACATCGAAAACACATATCAGCTCACCTCCGCGGACCGCACGATGCTCGTCATGCCCCTCTTCCACGTCCACGGCCTCCTCTGCGGCCTCCTCGCCCCTCTGGCCACCGGCGGTTCCATGGTCGTCCCCTCCAAGTTCTCCGCCACCGAATTCTGGCAGGACTTCATCGCCCACAAGGCCAACTGGTACACCGCCGTGCCCACCATCCACCAGATCCTCCTCAAGAACCCGACGCCCAACCCGCTCCCGCAGATCCGCTTCATCCGCTCCTGCTCCTCCCCGCTCTCCCCCACCGTCTTCGCCCAGCTCGAGGAGACGTACAAGGCCCCCGTCCTCGAGGCCTACGCCATGACCGAGGCCGCGCACCAGATGACCTCGAACCCGCTCCCGCCCGCCAAGCGCAAGCCCGGCACCGTCGGCCTCGGCCAGGGCGTCGACGTGCGCATCCTCGACGACGAGGGCAACGAGCTCGAGCAGGGCAAGGAGGGCGAGATCTGCATCCGCGGCGAGAACGTCACCAAGGGGTACCTCAACAACCCGGCCGCCAACGCCTCGTCTTACACCAAGGGCGGCTTCTTCCGCACCGGCGACCAGGGCAAGAAGGACGAGGACGGCTACGTCGTCATCACCGGCCGCATCAAGGAGCTCATCAACAAGGGCGGCGAGAAGATCAGCCCCATCGAGCTCGACAACGTCCTCACGCGCCACCCGGCCGTGTCCGAGGCCGTCAGCTTCGCGATCCCGGACGAGATGTACGGCCAGGACATTGGCGTCGCCATCGTCCTGAAGCAGGGACAGCAGCTGAAGCAGGACGAGCTGAGGGGCTGGGTTGCGGAGAAGCTTGCCAAGTTCAAGGTTCCCAAGAAGGTGAGTCTGCAGCAGAAAGGCGCGATCGCGTGTTTATATATAAGCAATCGACTAACGAGATACCGCAGATTTACTTCACCGAGACGATGCCCAAGACGGCCACCGGCAAGATCCAGCGCCGCATCGTTGCCGAGAAGATGTTGTTGCAGGAGCAGCCCAAGGCCAAGTTGTAGACATACCCTGGCCGCAGCAGACTGTAAGAGCTTTTTCTGTGCTCGAATCATAGAATCCTAGAAGACCGTGTAAGAAAAGGGTGTAGACCACAGACTCAGCAGAGAGGGGTATTCGTTAGAGCAAGATGTGTTAGAAGAGAGATTTCTCATTTTAGATACCTAGATGGATAGAATGGGGGTTTTCCACATCCATAATCGCCCATCCGTATTAATATTACAATGTGGCTGCCTCGTGTGCTCTCTGTCCCACGAAGCAGAGGCCGCTTCCAATATCACGCCAGGAGCCCAGTTCATGACCATCATCATGTCCCAAGAGGGCTCTCGCCATCCAATTGCCTAACCTGCCCCGATTCAGAGCCCCGGACGCCATAAAAACCCAAAAACACCAGCAAAAGCCCAGCACTCAGTCATAGTGGCCCCCCTCATCAGCATCATCATCGTCCAAGTCAGGATCCTCGCCCTCCTCCGCATCATAGAGCTTCTTCACCGGCTCCCCGGCGGGCTCCACCTTCCTCGGCACAATCTTCTTTGGCGTCACGCCGTGCACCTCGACCCAGATGCTCGCGCCGTCGGGGCCCTCCCACCGCGCCGGCTCAGCAATCGCGCTGTTGGTCTCGTTCTCGTCGAGCTTGGCGCCCTGCTCCTCCGCGAGCCGGCGCACCTCGTCGTTGGCGTCGGCGAGCGCGGCGAAGACGCCCAGGACGGTGGTCGCGGAGCCCGTCTCGTCGCCGTCTCTGTAGAGGACGAGGTTGACGGCGTGGGGGAAGTCGCGGCGCAGGGGCGCCGGGGCTGGTGCGGCGGCGGGCCGTTTTGAGGGGGGCGAGGCGCCGGCTGTGATTGCGGATGTTGAGGAGGCGGTGCGCTTGTGCGCTGTTGTGTCTTGGTCTGGCATCTTGATTGTCATTTGAGTCCCTGCGTGGGTATTTCTTGTTTGGTGGTTTGTTTGTTTCCTTTACTTGAGTGATTCAAGATGTATAGGTAAGAGAGATATGTAAATGTAGATGGAGGTGTAGATTGAAGATGAGTAAGGTGATCTGGTAGAAAAAGGTTCAAGTGAGATAGAGATAGGTATGTGTATGTCTCAACCGATGGATTGGATTGTTAAATTCGCGAGTTTTGGTGAATGCAAGGGAGCCTCTCTTCCTCGGTCTGCCTTTTATATCTATATACAAATATACGAGAACCGCCCAGAATCCGGTTATGAGTGATTATATGACTGATTATCACGGACGGATGGAGTACCTCGGAGAGGTCACTTCTAAGGAAACCCGGCGCGGCGGCGGCGGTGGGTATTTTCCTGGCCTGACATGGATCGATTCCCACCTGTCTGTGGACGTCACAAGGACAGGCAGGCTTTCGGGCGGTCCGATGACCGGCGGCGGGCGGAGTGATGCTGCAATGCGCTGAGCTGCGGCGCTGCAATTGAGTGCTGACTGGACCCCCGGAATACCAAAAAAAAAAAAAAAAAAAAAAAAATTGCTGGGGGCGTCACTGCGGCTGGAATTGGAGCTTCGGGGTTGAGATGCCAGAGCGCGAGTGCGCGAGGTGCGACGGCAGCCGACTGTAGCCAGCTCGCTGCACTGCGGGCCCCGCTGGTTCCCCAGTGTTGGGGCTGGAATGTCTGTGTGTGCCGGGGGCAGGGATGTATGGGCGATGGAGCTCTGGTCCTGCCTTCTGTGGGAGTTTCCTATGTCCGATGGTATCATTCGGGGACTTGACTTTGCTCACATGAAGCAGTTGCCAAGGTAAGAGTCATCAGAGGAGGGCGGGACGATGGACTGAGCTTGAGCTTTGCTCGCTGCTCATCACACACCTCGGCCTCGCTTTGACCTTCCTTGCTATCACTGTCGGGGAGACATGCCCCCCGCCCGTTTGCCCAACTTCTTCTCTGCTGTCTTTCTGTTTCTTTTCCGAATGTTGGCATTGACTAGATCTGGATCGGAATGGTAGCCGCCAAACGGTGCGGAAGCTCACCCGGATCCACGCAGGTCGCAGAATCGGCCCGGTCCCGCACGAAGTCCTTGAATTGTTGGGTCGTGGTCTTGAGCTAACTGCCACGTTCCCTATGTGTCACTGTTAGGAGTTACTCTGAGGCGTTCATGAATGAACCGCAACCTCTCCAAGACCTGGATGGCTCTCTCCAATATGATGTCACAGGGGCGGTTTGAACCCCTCACAGATAAATCACTGCTGGGCTCTGTCATCACGACGCGCACTGTCACGGGCGGCTGAGATGCCATCTGAACTCTGCAGAAGCTCGAGCTCCCGCTCGTGGTCGAACTCTCCCAAACGCATGTCATTGGTTCATAACTGAGTACACTTGAGTTTGCCTCGTCCCGTTTATCTTCCCATTACCTCAGACTGTCATCCTGATTCCTGGCAGTCCGACGCGGCCAGTAAATGAATACAAGGACCAACCCAAACGATTCAAATCCTTCTCCGTACGCCAAAATTCGCAACGTAACATCTTATCTCTAGGCCTCGGCCTGTTCCTCAGCCGCAACCCTAAGCTCGTAGTTGAGCTCAAAGCACTCCGCAAGAAGCTCGGTGACACTACCCTGGCCTTCCGGAATGTCGTTGTTGATCATGAACTTGCCGTCTTGGCGCATGTTGTCGATAGAATGAAGCTGCATTTGGTCAGTTGGAATTTCACTATGTCGACGAAACACATACCTTCATGCTGTAGGGGTATAGCTCCCGGACCGACTGAACGCCACCGTTGTTCTTCACCTCAATCAGACATCTCTTGAGCGTTTGCAACTGGTTGTAGATGGGCAGCAGAGCCTCAGATACGGGCTCTGACGAGATCATCAGGGAGTAGACGTATGCGTAACTTCTTCGAATCAGGTACAGAAGGGTCTGCCAAGAGCGTCAGTTCCGATGCAGCCAAGCCTATAATAAGCACTTACACGCTGAACATAAAGTTCTGCCGGCTTGCCTTGATCATCAAGCCAGTTGCCGTCGACTCGACTCTCGTCAATCTTGTCCAGCTGTCTTTGGAAATCGAACAAATCGGCTTCGCGAAGAGACCATGCTTGTGTAATTGAAAGTTTCTCCAGCTCGTTTCGGATTCGCACAAGGACGTCGTAGGTTGCCTTGAACGGCTCGGGTATCACGCCTTGCCTCTCGAGGACGATCTCCGACCACTTGAGGCACTTATCCAAAAGATCGGCAACCTCGTCACTTCCGGCTGGCACCTTGCCGTCGTCGCTCACAAACTTGCCATCCTTTCTCTTCTCGCCGATTTCGCGCAGTTGGACTTGGAGCTTCTGGACCTCGGACAGGGAAAACTACGAGCATGTCAGGAATATTGTTCGTTATCGCTAGGCCACACACATACCTTTGTTCGAGTGTTCGCCAATGACATCGATCTCAGGATCGAAATCAATTTCTCGTACGTCTTGGGGAGGGGATCCTCAAGGCGGTCCAGTCGCTTCTGAAGATGCTCCAATGACTTCTCGCAAAGCTCTAGTCTCTTAGACAGCAGAGTAATCAGGTATGGCGAGTAGTCGCTCTCGGTGGATTTGACATTGTGTGCAAGCTTCTTCACGGTGTGAGAGATGCTCTCGAGGTCCTTGGACGAGAATAGGTCGACTTCGGTAAGGTGATCGAGGAGTCTCCTGATGGTAGACGTCAGGGCATAGGCGGCAGGAGCTTCGTTGTTTCGGCCGATGGTCATGAAGAAGAGCGACAGCAGTTGGAAGCAGCTCTCCAACACTCTGTCCACTGTAGCGCGAGGTTAGCCGTTGACCCCGCACATGGGTGCGATAGCGCATTACCTCTGTTCTCCTCCCTTCGGTCAGCAGACCGGAACTCGTTGAGCTCGCGAACCTGCTCGATAGTCTCGTCGTAAAGCGGGATGACATCTTGGCTGCGAATGTAGTTGGTGCGGTCTTGCTTCAGCAGCTGTAGCCGGTCGCGGATCGAGACGAGCTTCTCGAGGATCTCCTTTTCGCGAGCGTCCCGCGGGGGAGGGCAGGTAGGGGTGTCCATCGCGTGTGACGTAGTTTACGACGGGCGCTGGTTGCTGGGAGGGTTGTAGATCTGAAATATGGGAGAAGGACGGCTGTTCGCGATCATGGACGGCCAAAGCATGCAGCTCGCGCGTTGGATGTCGATACCCTTGCAGGTCTGCCAATGACCAGACATTCAAGGAAGCACAGTAGCGGGGCTCTCTAGGTAAGGTTGACGGCAGCTAAAGTCCGAATGCCGATATCGTTTGTGGATGGGGATGGCGTGAAGTATTCAGTAAACTGGGGAAGACGCGAGTTGTATTGGTAAGATATCTGTGACAAAGAGCTCTGCCGTGGCATCCGCGCAGAGGTATGTAAGTAAATGCGGATGATGCTCGTCACAGGTTCACCCAGCTGGCCCGGAATCCAATGGAAGCACGTCAACGCTTGTGATAGAGGTGGGGGGGCATTGGTACGGCCACGGCTGGGAAAGTCAAATCGAGGCACCGAGGTGGGGCCAGACCCAAGTGACACCGACGCAGCGGAGGCAGGCATGCCCAGGCCGTCGATCGGCACTGCCATTGGCTCGCTACCATGGCCAATCACAGCCACTGAAGAACTCCCAAAACGCTCTAGCGTGTCTTGCTCGCTGCACCCAATCCGAGACCTCAGATTCGCCCAAGCGAGAGAGATCCATCAAATATTGCAGTAGCCCGTACTGCCCGCCTCGGCGCGCTGGTTAACAGCATAGGCGGTACGTACCGGCAGGGCTTGACCAAAGCGACCTCAGGGCTTGCCCACACTTCACTTTTCCCGACTTCGTATATCGAGCCAACTCCAAATTTTCTATCAACATCCGCGAAGTCACCTTCAGTCGCAAACCCCCCAAACCAGTCACAATGTCGACCGCCGAGCTCGCTTCTTCCTACGCGGCCCTCATCCTCGCCGATGATGGTGTCGAGATCACTGTGCGTCGCCGCCCACCACCCAGTAACCCCGCCGCGAAAAAAATGCGAAATTCGAAAATTCGAGATGGAACCAAATGTAACTAACAACAATTGCTTCAATAGGCCGACAAGCTCCAGACCCTGATCAAGGCTGCCAAGATCGAGGAGGTTGAGCCCATCTGGACCTCTCTGTTCGCCAAGGTACGACGCGCCGACCGATGACACTCCAAAAAAGCGACCCGACGAAAGAATGGCAAAGACTGATTTGAGGATCACAGGCTCTTGAGGGCAAGGACGTCAAGGACCTGCTCTCCAACGTCGGCTCTGGCGGTGGTGCTGCCCCTGCCGCTGCCGGCGCCGCTGCTGGCGGTGCTGCCACCGAGGCTGCCGCCGAGGAGGCCCCCAAGGAGGAGGGTACGTTTCGAACATCCGATCGCGTGTCACTTGTCGCATCTGCTAATGCCTGCCACAGAGAAGGAGGAGTCCGACGACGACATGGGCTTCGGTCTCTTCGACTAAGCGGTTTCCTACGACGATTTCCCTTTTGTACTTCAAATGCATGGTTCCGGGGGTTCTACGAATCGCGCGATCGTAAAGGATTGGGTGGAGGCACGATATCCTGCTGCCTGGACAGAGTAGCTCTCATACAATAATGTGAAGCTCTCTACGCGGAGTTCACTGGACATCCTACAAAAATGAAAGTGGAATTTGGCGTGCTTTGAACACACCCGGCCACAGTGCCTCAATGGAGTCTTGGACGCCGACATGATACACCAGCTTAGCTTGAGTGGGAATGGCTTATGATCCTGATCTTGGTTCCATTGCGTGTGACGCTTGTGAAAAGTCATCAACCTTGCTTCTGTTTTCTACCTCCCCAACGCCGGTCCATGCATAACCCCCCTCCCCGAGTTGAAAGTCTAGAAACCGAATCTATTTGACAATAAGAACGGCGCTTGGCGTCAGGCCGGCCTCCTTCAACGTCTTGCTGAAATCTGTGGCGCCCTGAAATGTCTTCTTGGGAAATGTGGTCGAGAAGCTGGTGACCTCGAGGCTGTTCTCCGTCTGTAGCATCTGAGCAACCTCGAAGAGGGTCGTTTCAGCGGGAAGAGTCTTCATGACGTTGCCGCCGGAAGTCTGCAGTCTCAGACGAGCTTCGTTGTGGTTAGCGGTAGTCTTGGGGACGGAGGGCGCAGCGACAGGACCGGGCTGGGGAGCTCTTCCCTCTCTCGCCGCCTTGGCCTCCTCCGCCTTGCGACGACGCTCCTCCTTGTCGGCCTCGATCTTTGCCTTGATGCGACGCTTCGCCTCAGCGTCGTCGAGCTTCTCCTGGCGCTTCTTCGCGGCCTCCTTGATCTGCTCCTTGCGCTGGAGCTCCTCCTTCATCTCCTGACTCTCCTTGGTCGCCTTCATACGGATCTGCTCGTTCCGCTTGGCATCCTCCTTGTCCACGAGGGCCTGCTTCGCCTTCTTCTCCTTAAGCTGCTCGCGAAGCTCCGCCAGCTTAGCAGCCTTCTGATCGTCGGTCAAAGGTGCAATCTCCTCCGTAGACTCGGAGAAGTCGGTGTGGTCACTGAGAGTGTGTCAAGAGTGAAGCGAGGGTAAGAATCTTGCCGAAGGAGAAGCTTACGTCTTGGTGGCATGGTATGAGGCGGTGTCCTGGGACTTGAAGCGCTTGCCACACTCGTTGCAGACCAGCGACTTGGCAACTCCAGTCTCAAGGGCCTCAATGTTGGCCTGAACCTCATTCTCATCATCTTCATCGGCCTTGGCAGCGTCGGCAGCAGCAGTAAGCTCATCGAGGGGCTTGTCCTGGTTCTTCTCGAGCCACTCAAGAGCGCCGTTCACTGTAAATGATGAGCGTGAATCCAAACAAAATCAGGTCTTTGTGAAGTGCTCACGGTTTCCAGTCTTCTTCACTGCAAGCTCAGCGCGGGCCTTCTCAAAGCCCATGTCGAGCAGCTGGTCGAGGTCGGATTGGGTCATGTTGACTGCTGGTGGTGGAATGGCGGGGTAGGTTGTTGAGGTTGAAAAAGTGAGGTTAAGTGTAGCTGGACAGGTTGCAATCCAAAAGTACCTTTGCTAGGTAGCTAAGGTACTGATTCACAGAAGGTAGCAAAGTGAGTGATTCAGCCTGGATTCTGAAGAAGGAAACAATGAATTCGGCACTGCAAACGAATTGGTTTCGGTTTCGCGACAGATGGCATGCAGCTGTATGTGAAAGCACTGGCGTTCCTTAGAAATATGACCTGAGTCGTTGCTTCCGCGAAACGGACGTCATCTGCAGGTGCCTTCGGAGCTGGGGATAGAGGATAGAGGGGCTAAGGCACCTTGGGTAGGTAGAGTGGCTGAGGAGACGCTGGAGGCAGCTCGACAAGGGTAGGCGCCACCTTCCACTTTCGCCTTTGCCTGAGGTTAGGTAAGCTGAGGCACCTGGCTACGGAGTACCCGTACCCTGCTGCACCTTACCGACATTGGTGCAGTGGTGCAATCACGTCCCTTCATTTTGAGTGGACGAACTCCCGGATTATCCCCCCTGGCGATGGGCCCGGGCAGCTCGTAGCTCCCAGTGGAGGCCCCAGCGAGCAACTCCGATTTGACCGCCCGCTACCTCAGTCTAGGGGCTACCTTAATGAAACCTGGCCTGGAGGACTGAGGACGGGACCGACTGCAGCACCTGTCCCAATCCCAATCGAGTCCAGCCCAGCCCGTTGTTGGTTACGCTGGTGTGTATTACGTCGTGGGCTCCTGCAGTGCGAAACACCTGCTTTTTGCACTTGCCGTTCTTACCTGAACCTGTATCCATACCTTACCTTCGCCTGCCTACCTGCCTACCTTACCTGACCCTTCCTTCCAGTTCCTGCCATTCAACACCAGAAACCTTGCCCTTGCCTTACTTACTGCCAGCGCTTTTTTAATATCGCCCCGCGCGCAACATTCTTTCACCTCTCTATACCTACATCACGCCGTACCTCACCTCTCGCAAATTTCTCTTCTTGCCGAGGCCCGTATTGAATGCGCCGAAACCCACCGCGTCTCCTTTTCCGATCCTAATCTTCAACTTTGCACCACCGCAACAGCCACCACCATGTCTGTCGATATCGAGCCTACCGAGCTGAGCTTCAAGCGTACGCCCACTTAGCGACCTTCGATCGGCCTTATACTCACAAGTCCCAGGGCCCTTCACCGTTGAGGTCTCTCAGATCCTGCGCATCAAGAACCCGAACCAGTCTCCCGTCGCCTTCAAGGTATGTCACTGTGCATTCCCCTGCCGTCACGTTACCCCATTGCTCACAAGACACGCCGACAGGTCAAAACCACCGCTCCTAAGCAGTACGGCTCCTTGCGCCTCGTGCATCCCTCGATTGCCGACTGACGATACCCCTTAGGTACTGCGTTCGCCCCAACTCGGGTCGTATTGAGCCTGGCCAGGATGTGGAGGTCACCGGTACGCTTCCCCGGACAATTGCCAGGTGGTCACATGCAACTGACCAGAACCAGTCCTCCTCCAGGCCATGAAGGCGGAACCCCCCATGGATGCCAAGTGCCGCGACAAGTTCTTGGTCCAATCCGTCCCCATTACCGCCGACAAGGAATTCGCTAGCATCGCCAACATTGTGAGAACAGACCCCAACGCCGGTCCGAAGTTGCGGCGCACATGCTAATTATTCTCGTTCACCAGCTCGACCAGACAGACAAGGCTACCCTTCAGGAGAAGAAGATTCGCGTCATCTGGCTCGCCGCTGAGGACTCATCGAACGGACCCAGCGCGTCTGCCGTCGCTTCCACTCCCAGCCGTCACTCCGTCGTCAATGGCGTGAGTTCCCCCTTAGGTCCAACGTTTTCTAGGTTGCGATAGCTGACAAATGCCAGGACCATACTCCCGATGTCTCCCGCGTCTACTCGTCTCCCAGCCAAGGGATGGATAGTGCTAGTCCCCAGCCCGCCGCGCCCGCGAGCCCCGATGTGAAGGATGACACCGTTTCCGAGAAGGCGGTCTCGACAGTGAGCGCCGCGAGCAATGTTGTCGCCAGCACTGCCCAGGTCACGTATGACGAGCTCAAGCAGAAGCTCCAGCAGGCCGAGGCGAAGATTGCCGGTCTGCAAGATACTAGTGGCCTGCGCCAACGTGTGAAGACCGAGAGCGAAAAGCTGCCCAGCCCGCAACAGGCTGCTGCAGCAGTAAGGCAGGGAGCGGAGGGTGTCCCCGTTCAGATGGTCGCCATCCTCTGCCTCGTCAGCTTCCTCCTCGCATACTTCTTCTTCTAATGCTTCGGCATCTTCTGATATTCCCCTTTTTCTACGGTCATTTTTGTTGGAGGATTTACGAACACACCCCAAACGGCAGAGACTTGCGGTCGACTGTTGCCAGCATACTCAAGAGCCATGGGAGAACGGCACAGCGTGTGGAGGAGGGTCTGTAGGTGACGATGGTGAATACGGAAGAGGATCCATTGATGGCCTCTGACACGGAACGGAGTCGCAAATCACACTTGTAACTATATGGCAGTTCTTTTTGTCGTAACGGCCCGGCGTCCCGGACGCGAAGTTTTCAATTCTGAAGCTTTTCATATGTCAATCGGACCCATTGATGCACGTTCAATTATATGTGTAGAGGGTCCAGCTCTGGCACCGCTGTGACTGAAGTCTAGGGTTTATGACGATCTTCCCGACTGAACGGAAAGGATTCTCTATATCTCGCGTCCCCAGTTATTATTACCAAAAAAGCCCCTTTTCAATGTCTTTTTCATATCGACAGGGATATATCTTCAACCATGATTTACTGCAAAAAAAACCAATATTACACTACTACTCGAGCAGCAACTTTTTACTCTATGTACTCTCTCAACGCCCCCAAACATAGGCTCTCTCTTTCTCTCAAGCCTCAATCTCCTCCTTGGTCCACTTGGCATTACCGCCAACCATGCGGCCGCCCTGCTTCCTCTTGACGCGGCAGGTGATGCCGACGTTCTCGTCCCAGATGAAGCGCCAGATGGCGTAGGTCCAGCTACGGTGGTAGGGCAGGTCCTCGTAGAACTCGCTGGCGATCTCGCGCAGGGCGGGGAGCCTGGTCCAGGGGACGGCGGGGAAGTCGTGGTGCTCGTTGTGGAGGCCGACGTTGTAGGTGAGGAAGTTGAGGGGGCCGTAGTAGGAGAAGGTCTCGGGGACGGGGACGCCGTTGGCGGGGTCCTTCTGCTGGGGGGAGACGGTCTCGTAGACGTAGTGCTCTGCGATGAAGTGGCCGGCGAGGGGGTGGAGGGAGCCGGCGAGGAAGGAGGAGACGAGGAAGTAGAGGACGGCGTTGGGGCCCCAGAGGGAGTAGAGGGCGTAGTCGAAGGCGAGCTGGACGGCGATGTTGAGGTAGTGCAGGGGCGTCAGGGGCACGGAGTAGACGAGGGTCGGGCGGACGGCGTAGAAGAAGATCTGGAAGGTGCAGAAGAAGGCCTTGCCGAGGATGGAGTCGAAGAAGACGGCCTCGAGGGCGGTGGGGAGGTCGGTGTCGAGGCCGTCGACGCCGAGGGACTTGTGGTGGGTGAGGTGGTAGGGCTGGTAAAGATGGTATGTCAGTATGTTATGTCTCGATATCCGGGGGGGAAGAGAGAGGACTGGCTCACCCTGAAGGAGGCGCTATACGGCACGCCAATGGGCAGGTTCGCGAAGATGGCGAAGAGGCGGTTGGCCTGCGGGGAGCGGAAGGCGAGGTTGTGGGAGATTTCGTGGATGGCGAGGAAGAGGTTCTGGTTCGCGGTGGCGCCGAAGACGTAGCCTACGGCCCAGAACTTCCAGGACCAGAAGGAGGTCTCGCTGAGATACCAGGCCCAGAAGACCTGCATCGCGACGACGCCGGCGACGACATACTTTGTCAGGGGCTCGGGACCGCAGAGCTTGGTGACCTGAATCGAAGAAAAAACCGAACTTGTCAGTCTTGCATATTGCAGAATGATACGGGAGCCATTGGGGTTCCCGGGAGAAAGCTTACCTCTGGGTGAGCCTTGATGATGGCCAGACGGCGGGTGCGGTGAGGCTCCTCGGTGTAGGTCCAGAAGAAGTCGCGCTCCTTGGAGGCCGGGGCGGGTTGCGCCTCGGTGGTGAGCTTGCCGGCCGCGGCGCCGTTGGCGGCGGCAGCGGTCTTGCGCTTGGACGGCTTCGTCACTGTCTCAGCGGCGGACGAGGCCATTGTTGCGGTGGTTCTTTTGCAGGAAAGGGTTGCTTTGCTTGCTTTGCTTGTGGCGTGACAAGGCAAAAAGGCGTCTCTTTCCAGGAAAGTTGGCCCCCCGATATCTGGGTTGTTGTCGGTGGTGGACGGCAGTAAATTATTGGTGGTGGAAAATCTGTCCTAAACCGGGGAATAGGGGACGACGGGACAGAGAAAGTGGAGGACGAGGGGCGAAGGGGGAAAGTGGGAAGAGGGAAACGAGAATCCGATCACCGTGGTGTGGTCGGGTGGGTGGTCCTCAGACGGTCATTGATATATATACGTAAAGAAGGGAACAGTGCTTCTCAAGCGGGAGAAAGACAAGACGAAAAGAGAGAGAGTCCCTTGATGAACCACGCGTAGTTAATTTTTGACGTCCCCCCTCTGGCGCAAATATCGAGCGGTGGTGGGAGAAGAATCATGCCTCGACAATGGCAAATCTCCTGATGCGGGCTGTAGGGGATCCGGAGCGGTGTACAATGCGCCGCTGGGGGGGGACTTGGGGACTTTGCCTTCTGGACCAGTGTGCTGTGGCGCAGCGGGTATCAGTGGGGGAAGGGGACATCCCTGCCCCGCTGTGGCCAATCGTTCGGGACATGTGTTTTGCCTGACTGCTCTGCTTCGAAGTGGTGGTCGCACCAACGAATTTTCGTGAGGAGCTCTTTTGGGGGGGAGAGACAGGGGATGCTGTGGCGTAGCAGAGAGAAAAAAGACATCGTTATTTTGTTTCTGGTGCTGTTGAAGGCTGGAGAAGGACGATCTTGGCCTTGCCCCCCTTGTTGTTTCCCCTGAACCACCAACACCACCACCACCACACCCACCCCAAAGAAACGGTTGAGGGAGGGGAATTGGGGAAATTCTAGAACCCCCACTGCACCCCTTCTCCAGTTACCTCGCTTCCCCTGCAGGTCTCTGTGCAACGCATCTGGGGGAGAAGGATAGGCGCAGCAATGTTATCGTGCATGTGCGAGATGGAGCACCACACCTTCATCCGCCTCCGTCTCTCCCTCAATGGCTTTCGTTAGAGTCTCACGAGCGAAGCTGGGATCTGTTTTCGTCGCTTGTGCAGAGCCAATGGGCATTTCGGTGCAGGTCATCATCTGACGGGGTCTGTACGCCGTCCTGTTGCATTGGAAGCTTGAGTGGAGGATGATCCCTGCCGCTATTAGAACTGTAGAGTTCGTTCTTCTCTTTTTTAGCTTCATGTATGCGGCCTGTTGTGGCTGCTGTCTGATCAGGTACCGGATGAAGATTACGTCGTATATCAAGTGATTCCCCCAAAGATACGTTACGCATTGCTCGTGCTGTGCGCGGGGAGAGGCAACGCAAGGACGATCAACACCGCGTGGTGTGTTCAGATTCGGGCCTGGGGAGGGAAGCCCGTGAGTGGATGGAGGGAAGGACGCCGATCCCCCGTGTTTTTGCTCTCCTCCCGCGCCGTCCTAGGTTCGGCACTGTGAGCCGCGGGCCGGTCAGAGACATATTGGGATGTCATATCGGAGCGGTTACATTGACGCGAGTGATTGGGCTGTTGAGCATGCCGTCCCTGCCGCGTTGTTTATCCGCCATGGTTATCCAGAGTTGCTTTTGCAGAGTGAAATTAAACACAGATTGCTCTCGGAGGGAGCTGGGCCGCGGAGAGGGGGAGGAGGTCAAGAAAGTCGAGACATAAAGTTGGGCCAAGGTTTGACAGGACGTTGCGACGAATGCTTCCCTCCGCTGGCATTCGAGTTTACACATCACGACAACGCGAAACTTCACCATGCGCCTCGTCCTACTCTCGACGCTCCTGGCGTCCGTCACCGGCGTGGCTGTCGCAAAACCCGAGAAGATCAGGGGCGTCAGCGACCCCGTCTACCACTTGTACCTCCAAGCATACCCGAAGGACAAGACGGTGCCCGTCCTGGGGCCCGAGGCCTCAGCCGAGTCTTTCAATATCGCGGGCTCCATCCAGAGCGCCAACTCGAGCTCGTACCTGAACATCGGAAGCGATACCACGTCGTACAAGAGCCTCAAGTTTAGCAACGCCTCGGAGACGACGGCGTGGGGGCTCGAGGGCGACACCATCATTACGACCCAGGGGAGCACCTGGGGCCGCCGTGAGTGAACCGTGCCATTGTTATCGTTTGCTGCATCATTCAGGAAGTCATTGTGCTGACCACGCGAGAGAAACAGAGCTGAATTTCTTGGTTTGCGAGCTTGAGCAGGGGTATTGGCAGGTGTACCTGCAGACTGGGAGTGACACGCCGAGCGGCAAGACCTGCAGCAATTATCAGACGATCCATCTTCCGTGCTTGTGTTAGGCAGATGCAACTTTGGCCTGGGGTTGGCTGGTGGTGGGTTGGTTAGTTAGGTGGAGGATGAGCTGTGTGGACGTTACATTTAGGTAGCAGCCAGATGATCGCCCTGTCAAGAGGCAGCCCGGGGCTGCTGAAGAAACATTCTGTGTGTGTATGCGCGCCTGCGTGCCTGCTTGTCTTTGTGCGACTCAAGAAAACATGGTTTTTGTGATGCTTTGCATAGATGAACAGGGAAACCGTTGGCTGTCAGAGCAGGCGGCCCTCGGCGATCGGCCGGCGCGAGTTTATTAAATCCCGATGAGAGCCTTGGGTTTAGAGGTTGTGCGACTCAATTTTGAGTTACTTGTCAGGTGATATGGGTGGGAGTTCAGGTGGCTGAGTAAGTTGTTGTTGGAGTAGGTGCTTGATGCAGCAGACGAGGATGAAGCTGTTTCGTCGCACAACGCAAGGTTACCATCCTCAGAGATACATATGACTGCAAATACTCAATAGACTGGATGTAGGAGGCGCAGGAGAAGCAGAGGCAGCAGACAGGTGGGCTCAGGTTGTATATCGGAGACTTGGCGGCGACTTCCGTGCATCAACATGATGCGCATGCTGTGCTCTGTTCGCATCTATGTCGAGAATAGGAAAACGCTCATCAAGGTAAGTCTCACGTGTGCTGTTGAGAGCCAAGTTGCGGTCCCGGAAAAAAGCAGTGGCACGCGAGACCCTTGATTATTGAGCAATTGGAGTGATACTTCCCTGTCGCGGAAATTCTGCGCCGGGAATAA